GACTCTAGTGATCCTCCTGTTTTCAGCCTCCCCAGCGCTGGGATTACAGGTGTGTGCCACCACACTGTGACTCTTGTTCCAGCTCAGTGCACTGCAGGGACAGGGTGGATGCGGCATGCAGGATCTGGGATCGAACCCTTGCTAAAGTAGGCACTTAGTCCTTAGCTATCTCACCTGTCCTGTGGCTTCCTACTTTTTATTGCTGGCTTTCAAAGATACAGAAAATGTGAATGAGTTAACCTGTGGTTTTTCTCTCCTTTTGTAGTGCTAGGTATTAAGCCCAGGGTTTCATATTTGATAGGCAAGTGCTCTCCTCTGTGCGTATACCACAGCTCCAGTTTCTTGCTTCTAATTCATAAAGTAGTCTGTTTGTTGATAGTTGTGGAAAAGAATAAACCTCATTTGAAAACTTGAGAACAAACTGGGTATAGTGACACGACATTTAGAAGACTGAGGCAGGAGGATCAACACAAATTTAAGGTCAGCCTGGAATACAGGGGAGGTGTTTTGTTTGTTTGTTTGTTTGTTTTTAATATATTTAGTACAGGGTATCACTATGCAAATCGGACTCTAGTAATTTTCTTGTTTTCACCCTCCCAAGCTCTGGGATTGCAGGTGTACACCACCAGGCCCAGTTGCCAGCTCAGCGTGCCCCAGGAGCGGGGCCAGCACAGCCCACCGGGGATCGAACCCTGGCTGCTGTGCTCTGCCTAAGCAGGCACTTTAATCCACTGAGCTATCTGGCCGGCCCTTCAGGAGAGGTTCTTTTTTTATTTTATTTTTTGGTTTTGGTGTTGAGGACCAAACCCAGGGCTTCCAGCTTGCTAGGCAAGCATTCTGCTGCTGAACCAAATCCCCCGCCCCTAGCTTGGAATACATAGTGAAACCTATCATAAAATACAATAAAATAAAATGGGGACAGAGTAAGCATGTTATGGAGAGAAACTGTAGGGCTCCTTTTCTCCTCAGGTGAATGAACTAAAGGAGAAGGGCAATAAGGCCCTGAGTGCCGGGAATATTGATGATGCCTTACAGTGCTACTCTGAAGCAATTAAGTTGGACCCCCACAACCATGTGCTCTATAGTAATCGTTCTGCAGCCTATGCCAAGAAAGGAGACTACCAGAAGGCTTATGAGGA